CACACACACACACACACACACACACACACACACACACACACACACACCTAAAGCCTGCACCAGAGTCCTGCTCTGAATGCCTGAAGCTCACTCAAATCTCACAACTCCAGGCCATAACCCAATCAATGATTGACTTCATTATATCACATTAATTGTAATGAACATTTTTTTATTTTACATATATAAAGAGTTTTGATTGATATAAAGCTGAAACAAATTAAGTCAAGTAATCAACTACTTAAATTACAGAAATGTAGAACCATTTCAATGGACACTTAAACACATTTTTCCAAGCAAAAATACCAAACATCCTCAAGTTCCAGCTTCTTCATTTCTTAGTTTGTCTTTTAGGATCGTAAACTGATACGCTTTGGCTTTTGGACTCGCTCAGCCTAAACCATAGACGGTATATAAGAAGTGGACGTAGTTATCATGTCAGCCATCGGTTTGTAGACTACAGTTTTGAAGCCTCAAGTTCAGCATTTTGGCAACCATCTTGGTTTTTTGCAACCAGAAGTGATGCAAGAGGGTGGAGCCAAGTAGAACTGAATGCTGGATAAGACATTTTAGAAAACCAAAAGGTTACAATGAACATTGTGTGAAAACACACTGAAAGGGTTAAAGTTTTAAGACCAGACAACGCTGTGGTAGCGACCTGTCAATCCCAAGATAGCCCCGCCCTAAAGCATACCCTGCTTTATGTTCTATTTGACTCTAAATGGAACATAATTTACGAAATGAACATCATGCTGTGTTGAAGAAGAATTGAATCTAGCGATTGAGACCATAAACTCATGTTTACTGAGGTAATAAATAGATTAATTTCCTCATAAACTTCTATACAATCAGACTTAATTTGCAACCAGAGATGTTGCTCCTTGATAGCCATTAGAAAGAAGTTTAAGGAAACTCTGCATTGGCTTCACTTTTCATACCTGGGGGTTGCCGCTTGGACAAAACAAGCCATATTGCCAAACCATTAAATTGATTCGTCAATAGTCAAATTTTTTTTTCAAAGGTTACATATTACATGAATTCAACCACATCGCACAAGCCTAACAAATCTTTAAACAGCGTATTGATCCTGTATTATGCTTGAAGACCTACAGAAGTGTAGGTAGAGACCATCAACAGAAAAAAGGCATACACAAATGATGTGGAATCCCAACTAATCATCTGTAGGTCAACATACACAACTGCCTGGTTGGCCCCATCTTTGTGGGCCCTGTGACTGTATGCTGTCACGTACAGTATGAGTGTACGACTGAGTGAGCAAGCGAGTGAGAGTGGAAGGGTGAGGAAGAGGGAGGTAGAGCGGAGTGACGCTGGCAGCTGTGCCGGTGGTGAGCCGGGTTGCGGATCAAGTGGCACAGGAGGCACAGAGCGAAGCTGGGCTGGCCAATGGCCTGAGGATCAGTTAGAAACTTAAAGACAGCCAGGAGGTTATAGGAGACATCTTCCTCGGGCCGATTACGTGTCTGCAGACTGCACAGAATCTGCAAATTCAGTAAAAAAGAAAAAGATGTAGAATGTGGAAGTGGAGTCTCTGGGAGGGAAAGCATTTTGATCACTCGTCAAGCACCAAATGACTTCGTCATAGCTGGAGAAAAGGACACCCTCTACATAGAGCGGGGGCTTTTGTAGGATGGATATCTAAAGATATCTAAAGAGCCAAAACCCATGGCTAACTTGTGACTCCACTTCACATATTATAAAAAAGTGTTTTGTCTTTAAAAAAAAAAAAACTAAAACATGATATTCTGAAACGTGTTAGTTCTTAAGTAAATGAGTCGGTTTTATTGTGCTTGTTCATAACATTTGAGTAACTCACTATTTTACACACTAATTTGACAACAATTTTAGAGAGTGAGTTGCAGCTGAATGTGTGGCACAGTTTGTGAAGGATATATCAAAATAATGGTGACAAAGGGGCAGCAACGATGGTCATGGTGACGATGAACGGGCAGCGGTGTTCTAACTGAAACACAGCCAAAGAAAGACGAGACGACGGTCACCATGTCCTCTCGTCAAAGCAGACAGCAAAATGGAAAATTGTGATTGCTCATCAAGATGAGGTGTGATGTAGATGAAGTGAAATGTTAAATATTTTTGTGCGTCTGCCAACCGCTTCAATGACCCGATGCATTTCATCTCACCATATATTAAGGACTGCAAAAATACGCTGTTCCCTGGTGGCAATGACGCAGGTTTGGTTTCTGAGGGAGGAGCAGGGTTAACTTGACATCATGTGTGCACGGCCACATTAAAATCGTAAAGTGAAGGCTGTTTTACGCATACACGTGAAGATTTACCGACTAACATATTATGACTGAGCAAGCCCCTTATGCTTTAGTGGGAGCCTAATTTAAAAGTTGCATTATTAAAGCTCTAATTTTGCATTAAACATATAATTTTGTTTCATGACTATGGAACTGGGGGCTGGAACTTGCTTCTCCAGGCTGCACATAGGTGAACATGCACAGGTAATGTGAATATGAAGGTATTAAAGAAGGTGTCCTGACAGGAAGTTGGATCAATCAAAAAAAAATGGAGGGTGTGAATGTGATTGATCTATGCTCCCTTTGACACTTGATGGTTGGCTGATGAGGAGCATCCTTTTCATTGGAAGAAGTTAATAAATACATATGCTTTGGATGACATTCATGTTTTGTTTTTTAAATGTTTTTTCTGACAACATCCTGATGTACAATGTTGTTGACAATACTGAACTTCCTGATGTTGAGATTCACTTTAGCTCAGACCAGCTTTGGTGTGAGTGCACTATGATCCTAATGGATGATTGTTTTGGGACTTGTATCAACCCAGTGCATTCTCTCATCATGATGGCTGGGAATACCGTAAAGTACCCAATCTAACTCGATTTTAATGATTCAACCAAACTCCAACTTAAAAGTGTGTGTGTGTGTGTGTGGGGGGGGGGGGGGGGGGGGG